TTAACTGATTCCAAACTAGTTCGGTAATGCAAGTCTCGACTAAATTATGTTGGCAAACATACCGAGCTTCCTTTACTCTGAGTGTCAGGTCACTCGGGAATACCTGGTAATGAGACATTTGGCATCGAGGGGCTGTAGGTGGACAAAACTCATAGATGCATTCAATCTCAGAATGTCTATCTAGTTACTTGCTCTCATTGAGCAGATGGGACTGCAGACAACTTGTTAGACTGCTGACTGGCCACTTCACTTTTCAAAAACACCTGACTGTGATAGGCGTACGCCTTTTGCCCATCCTGCTTTGAAGAGGATGAGACGGTGCTTCTGCCCCGCCTTTGCAAGAATTAGATATGCGGCATTTGGTCGCGATGTGTTGAGAGACGAACACCTCTTTAACACCCAGAAATCCGCCTAGGTTTATTCGTAAATCGTGTAGTTTTAAACAAAATAAAAGGGAAATGAAAACAGTACAATGGACAACATATAGTCTGAGTGCTGTTTACCGCACGCGTTGTTTTGTATCTGGTTCCAACAAAAGAAAAAATATTAAATATCTTTGTCAATTATTCACTGGTCCATATGACGATGTTGTCATTTAAATCAAGTTGCCAATACATTTATCTAGACTCTGAGGGCCTTTCATGACAGCATTATTCTTCGATGATTAGTCAGACCAAATTTGTACTATTTTTAACTGTGGAAAAATAATATCTTATGCTAATATTTTTTGTGTTTTGCCAAGCCTCTCCAACTTGTTTTCATCTCGGGTTTCAAACGCCTCACATTCCCATTTCATACTCCAAACTTATAAAGTGTTTGTGATCTATTAGTGTACAAACATGATCAAATTTTTTAACTATCTCTGCCACACAAAGGTTAAAACGGATGCTCTTTAATGATATGAATATTGGTAAAAGTGACAAGTTTATGCAATGTGTGGAAGCTTAATTTTCTTTTAGATGCAATGAAATAAATTTTGTCAAACTTAGTTTGTCACTTTTAGCCCATACTTTCAGAGATTAAACATGTGGCAAACACAAAGAAAACATTTTCTGCATTTTATTTTATTTTTTTATTAAATGCTTGATCGACAAAATTTTTAATAATATTTGTCTTTGTTTTCAGGCGAAAATCCCGTCGATTATGTCGTCGAAGTGGTGGCTCAAGAGTCCGCCGTTTTTGTGCGTGATGATGTGGTATCCGTAAAGATATCACTTACTTCGCCTCTATTGCGTGAAGTTTCTCAAGATGGTAAAACTGATGCCGCTAATACTAAAGGCGGTACTGGTGATGCTGCACCTTTGCCACGAGAACCGTGTCTCAGGGTAAGAAAAGTAAAATACATATCGTCGTTTAAAGTGCAAAACCGCCTATCGTCGTTTTGCAAAACCGCGTAACTGAGATTTGTGCCAAAAATTTGATTTGCTCATAGGAAGCTCCAGCTATAAAGCCTTATCTATTCTTGCCAAGATATCGATATTAGACTATGTACTTCAAAATAACAGCATAGTTGCAATACTGCTGATCAATAGGTGCATATATTTTTACTCTCTCCTGTAAAATTTTGGTGAACGTACATACACGGTTTTGCATTATCGTGATACGCGGTTTTGTACTTTAAACGACGATATGTAAATATTTGCAGGTTACAAATCATTTTGTTGCTTATTTTCATTTTATATTTAAGGCTTTAGCCGAGTTGCGTCATGCTAAGTGGTTCCAAGCACGCGCCACTGGTCTACAATCGTGCGTAATGGTCATTCGAATTTTACGTGATCTGTGCCAACGTATCCAGTCGTGGCAAGCATTGCCACAATGGTCTTTAGAATTGTTAGTAGAGAAAGTGATCTCATCGGCCGGTTTCCCAATTTCACCAGGCGACTGTTTGCGTCGCATAATGGAGGCATTGGCTTCTGGTTTTCTTATAAACGGACCTGGCCTACTGGATCCATGCGAGAAGGAAGCACAAGATGCTTTGCAGGATTTGACTAAACAACAGCGTGAAGATCTAACCGTGTCAGCACAATTGTTCTTACGTTATATTGCATTCAGGCAAATTTATAAAGTTCTTGGCATGGATCAATTGCCTGCTTTGAAGTTTCCCATACGGCCATGGCGTCTAAATCGTAAGCGTCGTCGTTCAGCAGGCAAAGGTGCTGCAGGTGGTGAAGCCGATGCAGGCGAAGGCGAAGAAAGCTGCCCAGATGAAAAAGTATCTAAGAAAGAAGTTGCAGCTTAGTCTGTCGCTAATGCGAAAATCGTTTAGTACAGCGTTCTATATTTGTAGTCTTAGATTTGAAAACACTTTCTCTCATATTAAAAAAATATATTGTATTAATGTTTAAATAGTGGACAAACAGTTGAGTCGGAAACCAGCCTCTCCATCCACATAAAAAACTAAAAAGCAACGGGCGGTTGCAAAATATGTATTTTCGGGTCACGATATGAATACTATAATTCTGATCAAATAAATATACCTAATAAAAAATAAATATTGTTTTTATTTAGAGAGCAAAAATTATATGTTTGCGCAGGTTGGGCATTAAGCTTTTTAACTTGCCTGTATATATAGATTTGTTTGTTTGGGTCAAATCTTGCAATAAATTTCTAACCAACTTCTGAACGAACTAAAGGAAAATCTGTATTTGGGTCTCACTTGAATGCATGTTATTACCTACATACATACATGGAAGGAAATAACTCCAGCCGGTAGGTGAGAGTGTTCTAAAAACTGGTTTTAGTTGATTTTTAACCAACTTCAAAAAACAGGAAGAGGTTATCAAGTCGTCTGAATACTATTTTTTTCGATCATTCTTTTATCTGAAGGTGGTACCTCAAAGGTGATCCCATACTAATTTGGTTTAGATCCGATCCTTGGATCATGAAGAAATTAAAGGTATACCCAAGGCATATCAATGTGCCTTGGGTACACCTAACTGTTTATATGAAATTTGAAGTCGGTTGTGTTTTTTGCTTAAAAATTACTTGTTATAATGGCTGTCTTCCAAAACACCAATTGCATTGCACCCGTACAAACTACAAAATTTTGAAATTGTATACTTTTCCAAAACGCATCCGAAAAGTTGTCGAAACACATCGCTAGAGTAATCAGCGCATCAGAAACAAAGTTGATTGCTTCGTTTGTTTTTAGTTGCGATTGGTGTTGTGAAAATGCAAAATTACGAAAGGTTATTCATTGTTACATACACTGCTGGAACAAAGTATTGGCACAGCAAATTTTTCACAATATATGCAACAATTTTTATTCATATATTTTTCTGCGAATTTTGTATAAAAATATGGTTCATTCTACAACAAAAAACATAAAAATATAATTCCTTAACTTTGTGCAAAACGCGCGAACATTTCAATTTCAATAGCCAGCGAAGATCGAAAATCGAATGCAGCTCATAATAAGGGCCATTATTGCATCATATTTTACAAATGAATTTGTAAAATACTGCATGATGCGGGATAGACATATTTGGCTGTATAGCATTCTTTTGTTTTCGGTGATGTTGTCCTTGTAACCGCAATTCTAAGTACCATAGTATCAGTTTAAACTATTCAGCAATTCAGCTATGAAATTTTGTATAAACTCTGGTGTTGCATACTTCATGGGGCAATATTTTGTTACCTGTTTATGAGATGGTAACACAATCTACCAGTGCGCAGAATGCGAAAAGGGTTTAAAAATTACCAGGAACTTTATTTACCGATAACAAAATTTTGGTTACCAACGCTGAATAGGCATGTTAGAGGTGGGACAGTGCAACACGATGTTCAACGGTCAACGTTGTAAGGCCGGATGAGCAGGAAAATGATTCACGTTTAGTGTACTGGTGTTTGGTTGAGAAGAGAGTTGTCCCCGCTGATTCTGGAGAACGTTATGCAGTCCTGCCGGGAAAGATCTCTATCTTAAGTTGCGATTCCGTACGAGTCCGGACTATTCAGAATTAGATTTTACTTGAAATCGATTCCGTACTCGGTTGTCCGACTATTGAGAGGACAAAAAAGAGAGTAAATAAGGTCCTCTCTCAGTCAAAAGTTAGCAATTTTAGACCGAAGATTTTTTGCTGGTAAATTCTGATAAATGTGCCAAACGATCAGTGTTTTCGGCAACGAAATTGTAAACGAAAGAAAAGTGCACTCTGCTAATTCATATTGAAAAGTATTTAACTATTTGTTTAAGTGGATTTTAATAAATTTGCAAGTATTTTTGGTTATTTACATGTGTGAGCTGAGTGTGTTCACATACAAAATAAGCAAACATTTACAGCCAAAATTTGGAGGTTTTGTTGAAGTTGACAGAAGTTACCATTTTCAAACTAGAAGCGATCCCGTAGTTTTCAATGTTAACCTATATTTTTTCAAAAACTAAATTTGCAAGGATACTCAAGGACAAAATTTTAAAAGGACATTTTCAGTGCCTAATCATATCTTTGAAATTTCAAAGTCCTCGCTCCGAGGAAATTTTTTTTTGACTGTTTTTGTCCGAGGAATACGGGATTGGACCTGTAGTTTGGTCTTGTGGAAAGATTGTTGTGCTTTTGAAGAATGAGTGAAACGCCAAAAATTTTTTAAAATAAAAAAAACGCATCGGGTAAGATGCTCAACTCAAGAAACTTAAGCATCTCATCATATTGTACTTTATACTACATACATATCCAATTCTGCATAGAAAAAAAAACTTGTCATATATTCATCATAACATATTAAAATATGGTGTGTATATTTCTGTGTTCGTATGGAAAAGTAGCTTATGTCGAAAGGTTGGCTTTAGTATAATGCGGCATTCCTTTTATTCTTTAAACGGCAAGGAATTTTTTGATGAGACGTAATAAGAATATTGACTTGCTAGTATCGGAACTATTTCTTACACGTTTATTTGCTAAAAGTTGTTCAACGGCTCAGCGCCAGCGAGTCATTCGCAATCGTATACTGCAAATGCCGATTTATATTAAAGTCAGCCTTTCGACATAAGCTACTTTTCCATACGAACACAGATTTAAAACGATGGCAAATGTTCCAAATATTTAAGGTTAGTTGAATGAATTCTTTAGTATTCGCCCTTTCATTTTAGACTTCATATATATGCGTCCCATTTGCTTTCGTTAACACAATTTTCTAGTGAGGAACGCATTGTGTTTCTTGTTGATGGGTCAGATTTCGACGCTGCCCACTTTTGGGTGTTTTGAAAGCAAAATAGGTTATCCATTTCTTGTTTATGTTTATCGCTACTTATCAGAGTGGCTGATTTTTCACTCCTTTCGTCAACGAAATTCGACCATTTACTGACAAGGGTATTGCTTTCAAGTTTGCTTGACTTTGGTTGCTGCTCTAAAGACATCGCTACATCAAGATTTTCCATGACTTCTAACGCAAATTTATCATTATTGAGTGCATTCATCTCACGTTGCTTATTTAGCTCCTGCACGCGCGCACGACATTCTGGCCCACTTCCGCGGAATAGCTCATGCTGTAAACTCTGCTTGGCATTACAGACTTTGCACGTCCATTTTTTTGCCTTTTTTACCAAGTCGACCTTGAGATATAAAACCATATCAGCAAATAATAATTTACATACATACATACATATGTATGTATATATGATATCGCATGTTTAATAACATGGAGAAATATTTCAAAAATTTACGTTTTTGTGTTGTGGCCCGAGTTTCCCGTGGCAGGCGAAGCCCTGTCTTGTCCACGTCTGGTGATTGTGTTGCCAAAACGGCATTCACAGGTCGGAAATCAGCGGGGGTCAGTACTGATTCCATGCGAATGCTGTTTATGGCCTGTCAGGATGCTTTCGGCTCCAGAGGTTGTTTTATGAACCTCTGGATTTCGTCCTTCGACAGTTCGCATGTACGTATGCCTTCTGACGTGCCTTGGCGAGGTTTCCGCAGCAAGTAAGTGTCTGTTCGGGTGCCCACGTCGGTGACACGCTACTAGGAACTGCTTGCAGAGCATTGTCTTATGCTCCCTAATGGGAAACATTTGGGCCTCGTCGTGTGGATGATGTTGTGTCGACATCAGAAGGCATCCGGTGGCTTTCCGCAGTGCTTTGTTTTGGCATGTCTTTCGCTTCATCCACTGTGTCCTACAAGTCCCCGGTGCCCACACAGGCGCTGTCTTTTCGTGTACGAACTGTATGAAATGATCAAACTTCGTTTGCCTTTTCCCACAAAATTAAAATTTTGAAATATGTAGTTCTCTATATTATTAAACGTGCGATATATCGTTAAAAGATTATTTATACCTGGTAGATTTTGCATTCAAAGCATTGTACAACTCTTATTTCCTGCGGCATTTCGCCCCTATTTTCCTCTTCTTTTAAACCGCGCGGGTGATTTTTTTTACTCGATATAGAAATAGACGTATACACAATGACTCGATATTTAGCACCGATTACTGACTAAAAATCAGCCACAAGTGGCAATATATCTATTTCGCAAGGTCTGTCAAACTGATATATTTCAAAAGGAGGTTACGATGTTCAGCCTGTGCCACGACCGTAAAATTATCTTCCAAATAGCTTTTTATATATGCGAAAATCGATTAGTTCCTTAATTCTCACATAAATTTAAATCAATTGGCCAAACTATGCATGATAACTGTTTCAATTATCGATATTTATCATACGATAGTGGCAAAGGCTTATAAGTGAATTCGCAGCTGATTAGCCGAAACACATCTCCAACTGCTTCGGTTACATATATACATATGTATGTATATGTATACATATCTTTAAGCAAAACAAAATGTTTTATTCTCGTTCTGTAAGATATTTTTCAATAAAACAAGTTACAAAGCCACCTATCAAATATACAGATACAATTAATTTACCAAAAACTAGCTTTCCTAGCCGTCTTAGTGCAGCGAAACGTTTGGAAATAGAGCGTCAATTGGTTGCGGTAAATACTTTATACAATTTAGCAATGTAATTAAAAGTTTGTAATTATCTACTTGGTGCAGGGGGTATTTTCCGAAGCCTATTGCTACCAACAGCAGCATAATCATGAGCCAACGTTTGTCCTACACGATGGCCCTCCATATGCAAATGGCGACCTGCATATGGGTCACGCTGTAAATAAGGTTAGAAAATATATACTTGGTTATTTAATTACGGAAACTCGTAAGATGCCATTTAGTACAGATTCTTAAGGATATCACTATTCGTCAGCATGTGGTTAGAGGCCAAAAAGTCCATTACAAACCTGGTTGGGATTGTCATGGCCTGCCCATTGAATTAAAAGCAACAGCTTGGAAGGAAGATAAAAATATGAAAACCAAAGCTCAAGATGCGCTGAGCGTACGATGCAAATGTAAATATTTTAAAACATTTTTTTTATATTTATCGTTGTTTTAAGTACATCTGTGCGTATTGTCATTCTTTAAAACCATGTGGCATTTGTGCCAGAGATTTACTCACCGGAAGCTCCTGGCATCAAGCCTTATCCATTCGTACCAAATTATCGTTTTATAGAACAAGAAACCTTTTCAAATAACGCTTTTTACAACTTGCTCCATCTCACATCCGCCATTCAGCCCTATCGCCAATTCCATGTGAACAAATCGTTCCCATAATTTGAAATGCAAAACAAAAACATATTGGGGAAAAATAGAGCCGATTATCTTGATACGCGATTTTGTACTTTAAGTGAACAGTTTTCCGTTTAAAAATTAAAATTATCTATTTTAAGCGCGCGATTTCGCTTTAAAGGCAATGTTCCGTCAAAAGGACGAATTCTGTTCTTGGGGTATTTTAAGTGACTGGGTAAATGAGAAAAGCGTATATCTCACACTGCAGCCGGATTTTATAATAAATCAATTAAAAATGTTTATGGATTTCTATGAACGTGGATTGGTTTACCGGGACTTAAAACCGGTCTATTGGTCGCCGTCATCGAGGTATTTTCTTCTTTCGTTATATTGCATTGAGCTAAGCATTAGCCTATATAATTTTCAGAACTGCTCTAGCTGAAGCAGAACTGGAGTATGATACAAATTTTGTCAGTCCATCATTATACGTACGATTTCTACTATCAAACAAACCAAAGAGTTTGACGTGGACAGAAAAAAGTAATATATATGCTTTAATTTGGACCACAACGCCATGGACACTGCCAAGCAATCAAGCAATTTGCTATAATTCAACCCTTGAATACAGTGTTCTTAAATTGCCTACTTTCGGCAATGACCTATATATTATTGCCACAAGTTTATTGCAAAACTTTGAAGAAACTACGGGCATTCCGTACAAGCGAGTTCAAATTTTAGGGGGTACGGAACTATCTTCATGTACATACCAACACCTATTTTTCGGAGAGCAGAAGAATTTACCTTTCTTCGCAGCTGAACATGTGCAAGATTCGAAAGGTACTGGTTTTGTGCATACTGCACCAGCGCATGGACCTGAAGATTTTTTGATTGGTCTCGAAAAAAAGTTGCCAGTGGTTAGTATCGCAGAAGATAAATGCTTAAACGTTATTTAATTGTACCCTTAATACCATAAGAAATGCTACGTTAACGAAGATGGTGTATATTCTTCGGACGCCCCTGCCTTTTTGAGGGGAAAAAGTGTGCTTGGGGAAGCTGATGAATTAGTGTTAGAAAATATTGCAACAGAGGTGATATATGCAGGCAAGCTTACACATTCGTATCCCATTGATTGGCGTACTAAAAAACCTGTGATTATACGTGCCAGCGAGCAATGGTTTATGAATACTGAAAAACTAAAAGATCGAGCTATTGAAGAGGTGAAATACTTTCAAATACAAATTACTTGTTGTTATTTATATGTATGTATGTCTCCTCGTTTTTCCTTTAGATAAGCAAAATAAGTGTTTATCCACGTGTACAAGCAGATGCGAGTAGAAAAGCGCTGATGGCACAATTGCGCAAGCGTCCATATTGGTGTATATCACGCCAACGCGTTTGGGGCGTGCCGATACCAGTTTTTTACGAGCGCGGCACGAAACGAATTTACCTTAATAAGTTGAGTATTGAAAAGGTGAAAAATTTACCAGGTTCTAACATTTGAAATCTCTCACAGCACTTTAATCGATCATATCTGCGCGCTCATAGAAAAGGAAGGTAGTATTGATTTCTGGTGGTCAAAAGGTGTCGAAGAAATATTACCTGCGCACGTTTTGGATCAATTCAATAAAAGTGCTACTGATTTGGAAAAAAGTGTAGACATATTTGATATATGGTTTGATTCCGGTAGTACATGGTCAAGTGTGCTCCAAGGGGAAAAAGTTGCTGATGTCTATCTTGAAGGATATGATCAGTTTAGCGGCTGGTTTCAGTCATCGCTTCTGACAAGTATTGCGGCCAGAAATCGGGCACCCTACAAGTAAGTAGTCTGAAGATAATAAGCTGATAAACTATACTCTTTTATCATTGGCACATATTCTGTTACACATTGGCGAGCAAATCATTACCGGCCATCACTTCAAGTAGAAGTATCCGACCACTGTAACTCCCAAGTTTTCATATCATTAGAGCATTTTTAGCACTGGATTTAGTCGTCACGACATCTAGAGAGTTTAGCTTTGAGCAATATTTCATTTCAGTATGGTTATTTTCTAGTGAATGGAACGATAGCTGCTTTTGTTGTGTTTCTGCTGTGGGCCACACCCGCACACAACATTTTCATCCTTAGTACTCTTCTGCTTAAATATGTTGCAAAAATCGTTCTCGTACTCTCCTCTCGCTATTATGACTGTGTCGTTGTTGTTGTAGCAGCATACAAGTTCCCCAAAGAGTTTTTGGGGAGTGCTGCTGGTGTGACAGTCCTTGGCCAAATATAAATCGCGGTCCATAATGCTTCTGGTGTCAGGGTCGTGGGACTAGAGGCGCATGCGAAGAGGTGTTGGGTGTTGTGTGGACCTTGCCTGCATGCAGGGCATGTGTCTGCCACTTCTGGGTTCAGCCGGGAGGGATAGCTGTTTAATCTGTGGCACCACACAGAACGGAGTTGTGCTAGGGTGCACCTGGTCTCTCTTGGCAATTCAGCTTCGGACTGTCGTGGGTCGTCCTCATAGCTTGTGCACGGAATCCCCATGTCCGTTAGCGTTTTCTGAACTTCAACGACAAGCAGTCTCCAAAGGAGGGCGAGTCTTTTGACACCAGTAGACAACCTTTCCCGAATATATTCCGCCCATCTCTGTGGACTTTTATTGATCAAATGACTGGTTCGCGAAAATATGCTTCTTGCAAGTCCGCAATCAGATGACCTTGATATAAATACAAGAGAAACCATGTCCACAGTCTAGTCGTTCCATCCCTCTGTTAATTGCTAGTTGGATTTCTATATTATTTCTTTATTACAAATTAAAATGCATATCTAATTTTTAGGTCAATCTTTGTGCATGGTTTCACGGTGGACGAAAAGGGCCACAAAATGTCGAAATCCCTTGGCAATGTAATATCGCCAAATGATATCATTAAGGAATATGGTGTCGACGCATTAAGGTACAAAATTATATGCCAAATATCCCTGCTCGAAGTTTACTTTTCACTTGAAATTCTTAGGTGGTGGGTGGCTTCGCATGGCGCACAAAATATGTCGATAACCGTAAGTGATAAGTTGTTGCAGCAAGCGGCGCACAACGTTAGCAAAATACGTGCTATTTTACGATATTTAAATGGTGTAATCGGTGAGATATCAGAAGAAATTCAAAATGGAATTGATAGCAGAAGCATCCACTTAAACCGTTATATTTTAAGCGCTTTGGTGGAATATGAAAATGAGGTAAATATTGTTGATTATTATTTTTTGTCTTGTATGGCTTTAAAATCTTACTTGCGGTTAGATACGGCAATTATATGATGCCTGCGAATACAATCGTGTGGTGACCAGCGTGCAAAACTTTACCGCAAATGAAATTTCAGCCATATATGTACATACAATTAAGGATCGTCTCTACTGTGGCGACGAGACGGACTTGCGTAATATACGTTACACGTTACTTAACTGCTATAAAATACTTTGTAGTACTCTGTGGCCCATTGCACCCTTTATGGTGGAGGAAAGTTGGCACTATTATGGTAAAATAAATAAATAAAGGTAGTTGCAACGTTTTTAGACTGACATACACTCCCTTCTTGCAGACCCTAAAAGTGCGTTTCATCAACAAAATTTTAACGCAAGCCCAGCCTGGAAGGATTCTAATGCTGAAAAGGCTATAAATGCTGCACTCGAGGTTAAACGTTTAATTAATCAGCAGGCTGGCAGAACAAATTCATTTAATTTAGCAGTAGAAATCGCAATTAACAAAAACAATAAGCAAATGAAGCTACTTATGGCGTTGCAACAAGAAGTGGGAGTTCCTGTGTACAGCTCTGAACTGTGCGAATTACTGCAAGTTCAAACCGTAACGCTGCAACCATCCAACATGGATGATGCATGTAATGTTAAAATACAAAAGTTAGAATTAAATCTATGTGCGCGCTGTAGACGTTTCGCAGTGGAAAGTACTGATTGCGTTTGCGCACGCTGCGCGCAAGTTTTGTCTGGTAAATAAATCATGTGGTATGTATACATTTTTTTTTTATCCTTAGCCTCTATTTAAAAGCTTTGTAAACATTTTAGTACTGAGTCACGGAGCTTACGGCGTAAAGACTGTTTCCCGCCACAAATTATGTGCGTCTCGTTATCATCAAACCTAATGGTTGTATCCTCATTGACCAAATGCAGCGTTATTGTATTGCCAGCGCGTTCCATTTTAATATTTGTAATGCCGTCTTGCATTAGACGTTTTTTAAGCATTTCTACATCTAAGGTACCATACTCGTACTTCATATTCTTGAGCACATCCTCTCTGCTTGGGGGAGGCATTTTACTGCTACTCGGCTTATCATCTGTTGTTTCCGTGCATGGTTGTATATTGTGCACCTTATCCTTGACTTCAAGAATGCCAGTGATAGTGGATACGGCCACGCCGTTACCCACATCTCGAGGCACAATTTTTTGCGCCATATCATAAGTTATAAATACACGATCGAGTTTGCGCTTCAATGGCAAACGAATGATTTCACCACATTTGAAAGTTATAATCTTTTTATCCTTAAATGTAAAACCAATTTTTAAAACAGCTTCATTTTTTTCTTAATTAAACACGTACTTACTGGTTGCTCGATAAATAGATTCGGGGCATTTGGATGTGGTTTGGTGTATGCTTCCGGTATCACCAAAACATTAGGCTTAAGTTCTTTAATCAATTTATTCGCCTGTTGATAATTTAACGATGTATCTATGGGACAATAAAACGCTTTCATAGCCAATGGTTGGAATGGCGCTAAAACTTGAAGATATGGGAAATCGGGTTCTACGATAAAATGTATATATTACTTGTTTATTGTAGTTTTCTTATGTATTATGAAATTACCTGTAAAGATAATTGAATTGTTGACATTATTGCCCCACATCTCTATAAAATGAACAGCATCGCCGAATCGCAAGCTTGGATGTCCACAAAACACAACACATGGCTAAAAAGACAGAAAAGTTTAAGCAAGAAACTTAAAAAAAAAATAATTCAATGCAACGTTTTCTAAGGTTCACGTGTGTCTTTTAACTTAACATACCTGTCGAAAATCTTTGCTGAATCCGTCCGAAAACACATGTTTATAATGTTTCAATTTTGAATTACGCAAATAAAAGGCATGTGGAAAGGGGTCATCGGGCAGGTAGACTTTATTTTGTTTTGCCGAACTCAGCCATTCAGCCAAAATATTTGAATATGCTAACGAGCTATCTGCTACTGGAGAAATGAAGAACATGGGCACATTATTGAGACCTGCGTTTTCCAAATTCTGCGTAAGACACTCAAAAAGATCATACACCACGCCAGAAGGGTAACAGGGTATCAATGCAGATCCATTATTACGTATAGTTAGTGCTATAATAAAATTACGATAAAGAGAAATTAAATATGTGCATTAATCTTTTTACCTAATGGTGCGTTTACTTACCGACGTTCATGCATAGTTCGCCCAACTTCGTATCTGGATTAACAGTAGGGGCCTGTGTTAGGCCTGTCATTATTAACACATCTGCGTGTTTAAGTGCAGATTGATTAATAGGGCGTGGATGTGTGGTTAGTGTTGATGACCCACTAACGTAACAGATTTTTTCGTGTGCCGTGCTCAGCACCCAATTACTCGAGCCTAAGCAATATCCTGAACTGACTGGCGTTGCTATAAAAGCGCCCAATATATCCTTAAAATAAAAGAGCAATAAGAAAATATTTTTAGATTTAGTTATTTATATGAAATGATTATCAAAATCTTTTACCAGTTTTTCATCGTAACCCATAATGGTTACACGAGCAAGGCTGTTATGCACATCCTTCAAACTAAATATAGTTTTCCATTTTTTTGGCCGAAACGCCTCACTTATTGGACTAGGCAATAAATGTAAAACGTCTTTCCATAAATGTGCCGTGCTCGCCTTAGGCGCAACTTCAATGTACTCCACTAGCTCTTCTAGGAAGAAACGGCCGATCTGCAATGTGGGCTCTGTTGCGTACACTTTTCCTTTAAAACCAGTGTGCTCCGTTACATAGGGCAGCGCCAGCATATTCAGATAGTTAGATATTAATATCACATCAATCTCACTAAAATCGACCATCTTATCCATGGGTAGGGTAAACTCAGGCGCAGAGTCAACAAAAACTCGACCGCAGCACTCCTTTAGTTCGCCGTCCATTTGGGGATCATGTTCGCGATTTATTATCCAATTTGCGAGGTTTGATAATTTCACGCTCTGCACAAATGGAAGTGGCAAAAAGTTGAGCACCGTCTGCTCTGTGAGGCCACAGTCTAGCATAATACGGAGTCCCTTGAATGTAATAACATAACAATGTTTTGCCAAATCGTTGCTTAAGCAATACTATAGTGACAAAATGTTAATTTTAATTTTTTAATAATTGTTTATCAATTTTTACTTACAAGTCGCATTTTGTTTATTTTGATACAATCAACTCGTTGATTTACCGACTTTCAGGTGTGTGGAAAGCATCTTTAGTTGTGTTTATTTGGGTCGGAAACGGTCGGGATCTTATTGGAGTTGGCAGCACTAATTTTATACTACTAGCACGATGAAGACGAAATAATAAAAATGAACTCACTAAATGGGGAAGGGTACATTTAAGCAAAATAATATTCATTATTATGCAATTTATTTGCAGCAAGTTAAAAGAAGCAATGGCAGAATATATGTTCGTGCACACATTCATTTGTCAATGCTACCAAGTCGTACTGCCATATTATCAGTGACACAAACCAAAAAGAGCGGATCATAAATTGATCCAGGTCTCTATCAGGGATCATTTCGTTGCATTTGCGTGCAAATTTCTTATGCGGATCCCGATCATTGCCCGCGGAAACACAGCATTTAATGAACTTGTCAAAGTTTAGACAGATAAATAAATATTCCACAACTGCAAGCTGCCAGATCGTCAGACGTTTGACGCCTGTCACACCATCAATACGGATCGCGATATTTGGATCGTATGCCACCCTTTTGCGTCTGGTGCTTTCCTGGCGAAGTTATAAATGTCACGCAAAGCCACAAAGTTTTATTTGGAATCAGCTAATTACTATTATTTTTAGTGCTGATATGAATATCAGAACTAATAGTTTATATGAGCATTGGCTACCGGGGCCATCAGATCTACGTTGCAGGAATGAGTTGTGTTTATATTTGTGTATGTGTTACGTACTTTTGGTGGTTAAATGGTCAGATCAATATCTTTAACGCATCTTGCGATTTTTTCAATGTTTGTGCTGGTGGGAATGGCGAATATTTCCGAAATGTTCTGTGAGTCGAGTAATGTTTGTTTTAATTCTCCGTATCGAGGGCAATCGTTGAGGATGTGATGCAATGTTTGCTGTGAGTTGCAGTTTTCGCAGTGTTGGGCATCAGCTTAATCGTAACGGAATGTTCGCTGTAACGTACGAAAACATCCAAAGACGTAAACATAACAATATGCAGCCTTAATTTTTTGCTCTGGCAACCCTCTGCATGAGAAGTATTGTTGCTTTTTGCATTTAGCCGTGGGCAAAGGATAGCCATTTTTTGCTCTAAAATCGGTGAAAAGAAATAGTAAAATTGCTCAAGGAATGAATAAAAAGTATTTTTGCAAATTTTTATCAAATGAAAATGTTTTGGACTAAACGAACTTCATCATGAACATTTTACAATCCGAAAAATGCACTGTTTTGTAGTGGTTTTTGCAGCTGCATTGTGTTTAAGTGTAGAGAAATACATATAAGTATAAAAACAAATTTCTTTATTGCATGCTGTTGTAATGAATAAAAGCTAATTGAGTACATTTTTGTTCAAACGAGGAGTTGTGCGATCCAGTGAAAATTAAACAGCCAACGTGCTTCCATTGTGTACTACGTATCTCCAAGCTTCAACTGCCAACTCTGGAGTCTGTAGCTTTATATGTGAAAGTTGAAAAATGGCTAACGCTGGAACAGCTACACCAATGGAAATTGATGAATTTATAAACGGAGCTTTGGTTACATGGGTAATTTTAAAACTAATGTTTTTATCTCAAATACTTAAACAGATATTAATAGATATAAATAAATTTATATATATAATATATTATTATATATATATATATATATATTTGTTCTGTACATATGTATGTATAATCATTTACCTATGTACATAGGTATGTATACATTATTATGACCATAACACTATTGCATTATACAAAATGTTGCTTTATTTCTGTTAGAACTAATTATACATAAATAATAGTTTGTTAAAACCTAATTAGCATAAAATTATAATAATTAGCCGTCTTGCTACCAAATATGGAAGCCTATTGCCAAGTCTGGTAGTTTACAAGGTAGGCGTTTGTCTGCTCTTGGACGGGCGGACTTTGTTTGCATCAATGAACGCAATATATAAATAAATAAAATTTTTTTTCAAATAATCGATAATATAAGAGTTTTTGACACTTTTTATTTATTATATATTTCAGTTGGAATCATGTTTGTCGCGTCCAGAATTACTCACCGGTTATTCGTCCTTGTTAGATGGTAACATTATACACAGTGTGTGGCTACAAATAGACCCGGAACCACAAAATCATCCAACAGACATTCGCGATCTAGTTGGGGTTTCGTTATGCATAGCACGATCGAAGAACTTTGAATGCATTGCACGCAACTTGAAATCTCTTTTCGAGGAAGAGCTCGAGCACACCATACTCGTGCTTCCCGATGTCTACATACTAGGCTACCATCCAGAATCCAAACAGGGCCTAGAGCAAATGAAGATTATGCTAACATTATTATTGGGTGCTGCAGTGCAGTGTCCTAATCGTGAAATTTTTATTGGGCGCATAAAAATGCTAGACGTTGAAACACAACATGCTATTGTAGGATTGATTAAGCAAGTAAGAAAATTTGGTGCATTAATTTAAATAGATGTACATCATACATATATTATACAGTCATAATTGCAATTGTTTTATTTTTATTCATAGGTGACTGAGGACCAAAGTCTTGTGCTTACAAAGGAATCTGTAAATTTGCTCACACCCGCCAACATGTATAATCATATACTGCGCTTGACAAAGGAACGTGATAATATGTACTTGCGTTGGATTGCATCTATGTGCACGGAATCTGATTTAAATATGTCGGCGTGTGGTGAGAGCACAATGAGTAATCCACTATCACCGTTATCTGGCGCGCTTACGACATCTTGTCCATCATCTGCCAATTCTGAAAATAATCACATGGCAGTAGAACTAGCTGATTTGAAATCGAGAATTCGCAAATTACGACAAGAACTGTAAGCAATATCCACTAGAAGCCAAAGAAAGTTATTTAATTATTTTTTACTTTTTTCAAAAAAGTCAGCAATTAACCGTTATTTTTCGACTGATATTTTTTCAGTCAAAAGTGAAAGTTAAAACTTGACTTTTATTTTTTTCTGTCAAATATAAAAGTTTAAATTTGACTTTTATTTTTTCTGTTTCTTTAATTTAAGCTTTAAGTTGTTCATCTTTTTACAAGAATTATTCTGAATTCCATTTAACAATTAGTATATAGTATAGCTGCCAACTGCTGCTCCGACAAATTGTATCGCAAATCGCTAAGAATAAGCTTAGTGCTAAGAAGGCGCGTTCTACACTGACTTGTGTCGCTGGCACTTGATGTATAATACATGCGAGATCTCTTAATCGGGGATATATAAATTTTTTGCTCTCCCAGTAATCCAACATCAATGCGCTTCCCCTTAAGGGTGCCTATTTCTATAAATGCTTTTCGAAGTCTAGTGTTAACTTTTATTTTTGACCGAAAAAATAAGTCATATTTTAACTTTTATTTTTGACCGAAAAAATAAAAGTCGATTTGTAACTTTTATTTTTGACTGAAAACATGTCGGTGAAAAACAAACGATTATTTTTTGACTTTTTTGAAAAAAAGCATAACCGTTACGTTCCCTGGTATTTACAATTAATTTTTGCAGGTAAAACTTCTTTAGCGGCAATAGTATGTATTAAAAAAAATGTGTCACTGTAATATTCAAATTATGGTCAAGTTTAGGCTTAACCTTGGCACTATGTTTGCAATATATTACCTGTAGTTCGATTCATATAATTATTTTAACATTATAATAACATATTTCCAATTAACTTACACTATTTTATTTTCAGAGAGGAGAAGGCTGAAAACCAACTCGAATTGCGTGAAGAATTAGAGCATAAAAATGCTCAGTACGAAAAACTGCGCGCAGAGGTAAATAAAAAAGAATAACATATTTTCAAAATGTTATTGATGTCATTTTGAATTTAAGAGTCAAGAATGGTATGCTGAGGCAAAACGTGCATACGCTTACCGTGATGAAGTGGATGTTCTAAGAGAACGTGCCGAGCGTGCTGATCGTTTGGAAATTGAAGTGCAAAAATTTCGCGAAAAACTAACAGACGCCGATTTTTATAAGACACGTGTAGAAGAATTACGGGAAGACAATCGAATGCTGTTGGAAACAAAGTAAGTGAAGCTCACAAAGTTCAAAAAAAAAAAACTATTTCTTCCGTTATTTGTAGAGAAATGTTGGAAGACCAGCTACAACGGGCAAGGAAACGTTCTGAACATGTCATGACACTAGAATCGGAGATTATAAAATACAAGCAAAAGTTAAACGATATGGCATTAGAACGAGATGTTGACCGTTCGAAGATGGAAGAATTGTTGGAAGAAAACACCCAGTTGCAACTAGTCGCGAAAAACCTAAACAGCACACAAAGACTTGACAGCACTTTTTCGGATAATGAGGATGAATGCAACTCTGGCGATAACAGTTTATCAGAACAACTAACCAACGATGCGCAGGTACGATTCAATACCTACGCTTTTTGTTTATTAGTACTAAGCTATTCCTTTTTCAGACAAGAATTTTAAAATTGGAATTGAAAAATAAGCAACTTGCTGCTGCGTTGGATCAGCTAAAGGAGAACTCCTTTCACGAGTCTACCAACAAAATACTAGAACTAGAGAAGGACAAGAAGAAGTTATCTTTAAAACTTGAACAAATGCAAGAAAATATCCAACGCCTAACGCAACAAAACTCCGCATTAGAAGATGTCTTTAAAAGCGCTTTGGAAGAGAATAAAAAGCTGCAGGACACAATGGATGATCGGAAAAAATCGTATGAACGTCAAAGTCAAGAACGTGAATTGGAACGTAATAAGTTAATGGACTTAGATCAGCATGTAGAAACGTTGAACAAAGAGAAACAACGTCTGCAAACTCTAAACGAAAGCATACAGCGTCGTGCTGATGATTTGGATCGTTTGCTTGACTCACGTACAAAGGAAATCCAACAGCTGAAGGAGCGCTCTCAGGAAGTGAGTAAGGTTAAAGAAAAGGTGTACGATTTGGAGGCAAAGCTATGTGCATGGGAGCGTGAGAATAACAGCCTTTTGAAGGAGGTCACCAAGTTGAAAGAAAATAGCGAAGAAAAATCAGTGCAACTTGATGAGTCGACAGCAAAGCTGGATGCAAAGATGAAAGAGATTGATCGTCTCACAAAGGAATTGGCGGAGATAGAGCTGACACAACAAAAAGTCGCAGAGCTTGAAAAGCAAAACCAGGAATTAGTTTCACAGCGCGACATTGACTACGAAACGATAGCAACACTTCGAAATGATTTAGTTTCTGGTACATTGGCCACCAACAAGGTGCGTCAGAACTTGGAAAAACTCGGATTAACCGCTAGTAGTCAAGCCGATAGTAATGCCGACTTGAATGTGGAAACTGTCGTCGAAAAATTGGTACGAAATCCCGAAACATTCAAAACTGTGCGCGAAATTATGTTAAATGTTTCGAAGGAACAACGTAAAAGCGAAAATGCCAAGTCAGATATGTGCGTGCTATGCCATCGCAAAGAGATCTACACGGTGGAGAAGAATATTGAATTATCACCCAGTAATGAACCACAGGAGCTAAGTTTCGAACACAAAGTTATTCTAAGCTCACCGAAAAATCAACAACAGGATCGGATGGAAATAAGGAGGCTAGTGGAGAGCCACAATGAGTTGAGTACACGTTATGCGGCGCAACATTCTGTCAATATTCAATTAGAAGCAGAAAAGGCACGACTCGATGTAGATGTGGTAACGCTAGGCTCACAGATATCATCTCTCAACACTCAATTGGTCGCACTACAAGTGGCCAACACACAACTTGCCTCCGACAAGGATCATTTGTTGAAGCAAAGCGAGTCGGTTAAGCAAGAAAATAAGAATATACAACACGACTTGATGGCTTTGCGAACTTTGCACGATCAGCTTTCAGCTGAATATGAATCACTTGCATCTGGCAAAGAACAGCTGAAGTTGCTGTTACGCGATTCACGCAATGAGGCACGTGAGCTACGCGAGCACATTTCGAATTTAGAAAAGCGAATTGTTGATTTGACCAAGGAGAATTCAACAATGAAGACCTATGAAGATGACCTGGCTATACTGCGCACAGAGCATTCAAAGCTGACTGACGATTTTCGAAATTTGTTTCGCTTCAAGAATGAGTACAAAAACATACAGGTGGGTAATTTTTTAAGTTGATTATTTCATTTCTTCCACTTAATGTCGGCTCAGCGCACGGACGCTGTGTGTAGCACAGTCGTAAGCAGTGCGCGTTTACACTCCGCAGGGCCTGTGATCAATCCCTGGTCAAAGCAAAATCGCTTTAACAGCGGTCGGCCCTCGGCAGGCAATGGCAAACCTCAGAGCGTATTTCTGCAACTGTTTCAGCGCTTTCAAATCTAGCATGTCGGTACCAGAATTTATGTGAAAATCCCTAGCTGCATATATTGTCAGCTTTAAAAATGTACCTAGAATTGCGGTTACAAGAAGTGGTAAAAAATTTTGGTATTACAGGTTATTTTTGATATATAAAATTTTACCACTTGTTAAAGCAACGCCGTCATATCGCACACCTAGATCTAAAGTGCGATCAACTGCAAAAAATGAATGCCAACATTATTATATACATTAAATAAAAAACGACTATTATACCTGTTTTCCTAGTAATTGCGTTGAATCTATACGATCCATAAGCAGTTATATTCCCTCTCTGAATTTTGAGTAAGCTCACTTTAGATCTACATAGGTGTGCGATATGTTCGGCGATTCCGCTATGCATTTTTGCAGAAATTCTGTTAAGGTAATACAAATTTTGTAACCGGTAAATAAAGTTTCTGTTTGCGCACTCTTATAACGGTAGATAGATAGATGAGATGATAGATAGATAGTTGTGTATGGCACTACGACCGATAGGTCTATTGTGCCTCTAGCTTATCACAATACCTCGACCAGCCCCAGAGTGTCTATAAATTTCATAATAGACCCCGGGGACAGTGAGTGTATGCGCCCCTCTCTTGGCCAGACGTGCCCTATGCTCCTATACCTCCTGCGTGCAACGGCCTCACATTCCATAAGAAGATGTAGGGGAGTCTCCTTGTCCGCATCGCAAAAGAGACACAGGTCGCTGGACTAGACCTAGTTTATACAGGTGCCCTCTGAGCCTACAGTGGCCAGTCAAAAAACCTGTAATAATTCTTAGTTTATCCTTTGGGAGATCTATGAGCAGCCTGTATCTTATCAGATTGTAGCCTCCTAACATCACGGTAGCAAAATATTGGCTTGTGAAATATGCCACACCAGAATTACTACAAAACTTCATAGCTGAATAACTGACCAAATTAAAACGTTGCCAAGGTACCTAGAATAGCGGTTACCAGAAGCGGTGATAATTTTTGGTAACCGGTTATAAGCAGAATAGATGTGTAAAAAATTATATTTTTTGCAGGAGCAATATAAAATGATACGTTCCGATAATAGCAAACTGAAGAAACAGAATACCGAATTGTTGCGAGAGTTGGATGTGAAGTGCGACCAAATAAAAACCATGGAAAATGACGCTGCTTACTACGCTCAACAGTGTGAAGTAAGTAAATCATAAGATATTTTTAAGCAAACTTACCTTATGCCTTTGAAACTACGTACCTCTAGATATTGCTGCAAACGAATGCGCATCTGGATACAGATCGTAAAACTTTGATGGATAATGTATCACAGTTACTATCTCAGTATCACGAGTTGCTTTCACATTCTTTGGAGGATAAACAGCATTTTCGCGAAGAGGAGAAGAGTTACACAGAGCGCTTACACAACCTAAGTCGCCAGAAAGAGAAGTTGGAGGAGAAAATTATGGAACATTATAAGAAACCCGAAACTGTTATACCAAAAAAGTATACATATACATATAATAATGTTCACGTTATTGTGATTTAAACAAAATATGTTTTATGATTTTTTAGGAAGCCTTTTGCGAGTAGCATTGTGCGGCGCGTAAAGAAAGCGGGCTCAGATTTCATAAATAAGGTACCAACAAGTCGGGTGGGTGTTGCTCGCATTCGTTATTTCCACTTTCACATACGTACATACATATGTACATACAAATATGTAAAAAGCTTATATAACCAAACAAGTAATATGTATTCCCCAATTTATAGAATCGCCGTTCATGGGTGGATGATTCACGTCTAACGCAATCGCAATTTATGATTGGCTCTGAATCTGGTGGCAACGACTCAGATAATAGCGCAGAGGAACCAATGTCTATTGCATCGGATACACATTTACTCCAACGAAATGTGCCAATCCGTCAAAGTTTGCAACGGTAAGTAGTGTTGGTCAGAATTAGTTTAAATGTTTTGCTCGCATTTTAGTCGTTAATTTGTGCCATAGGTAATTTTTAGTTAAAAATATGTACTTTATGTACGTGTATGTTTACTATATGTGTATAGGTGTGTACTCGTATTGAGAGGACAAAATTCTCCAGCAGCAAAAGTTCTGAGAATTTAGCAGCATTCGCTCTCAAAGAGACAAAATAGGTTTGTTCGTCGAAAATCCAGCAAGAATTATCCAACACTCAAAATATCAGAGAGTAAGAAAAAATTCTCTCAAATTCTCTCTCATGTTGAGAAACTTGCAAATTTCTGCACGAACGCAAATTTGCAGAAATTTGCAAGTTTCGCTGCTAGCTGGCGTCCACGGTTGCATTTCAAACATAAAAAATTTTTATAGAATTTTTAAAATTCTTTCGGATGGCCAAAAACAGGATATACATGTATATTTCTTGTTGTTCTAACTTTCTTTAACATACATTTCAATTTCTTCATCGTACTAGCTGTCGGGTTTCTTAAATCGACTCTGGTTGCAATTGCATTCCGATTGCGAATACCATTTTTTTCAGCCGAATTAAGTTCATATCATTGGAATTAACTAAATTAATTATATCAACAATTATTTACTTCCTTTTTTCATAAAAAAATCGCTCGTGTTTAAAAATTTTTAAATTTAACGAACTAATTTATTCAAATTATTGTAGACAAAAATGCAACCATGCGCCACAACCGCATGTTTTTCGTGTTTGCAAATTCTTGCTGGCAAAATTTTTTCCAGCAAGAATTTGCAACTTCTCTCCAAGAGAACTGTCACTTTGCTCTCACAATTTTTGAGTGTTGGATAATTTTTTGGTCTGCACGAACGCGATTTGGGAAAAATCGTGATAATTCGTACAAATTCGTACAAATTTTTTGCTCGACGAACAAACCTAATATCAACAAAAGTACGAGAACGCATAATTTGCAAAAACTTGCAACCTTCGAAACAGCTGATCACTTGCACAGTTGCCACTGGTTATTAATTTGGCAATTTATTTTCTGCTTGGTGCATTTTCCTCCGATTTGGCATTTTATACATTTGAATAGTTTTGGAACGCGAACGCAAAAACTTGTAAGTTTTGGTTAAACATGAACAATTAACAGCTACGCGAACGAACCTAATAACTCAAAAAGGCCATATTTTCTTTTGTTTATTTACAAACATGTGTTTGTGATCAGCTGATTTTCTTACTTGCAAGTTTTAGCTGGGAAAAATTTTTCCAGCAGAAATTTGCAGCTCTCTTTTACCAGTAAAAGTTTTCTAAAACTTTAGATAGTTGGGCGTACGAGTACACACCTATGTTTACTACATGTGCTATTCGTCAATTTGCATTTATTTCATTTTTCCTAAATTTAGTGAGCTAATGGATAATACACTTTCACGTGGCGGTGTGCGGAGTAGTTTGCAAGCACAAAAGCGTACGGATTTGAATAATTCTCGTAGAAATAGCGTGCACGGGTAAACTAAACTACATATAAACATATTCTTATTTTTGTGCAATTAATTTTTACCCATCCAATTTTTCCTCTACTTTCAAATGCGTGTTTATGTGTTAATGGCAACCGGCATGCATTTCGGTTTAATTGATTGGTTGGTTGGTTGGTAGTGGGTGTAGAAAGAAAATAAAAATGTGGAAACGATTTTTGGGTAAATATTACGAAAGAAAACCATTGAAAGCCATCAAAATGCTTTTTATTTGTTTGTGTGTGTGTGTAACATATCGTCTGCTAAATTTTGTTATTGTTGATTGCTTTGTTTACGTTTGTGCATATGTATGTAACATATGTATATAAACATATGTATATACATTTTTATACCCAATGCATGGTTGCGTGCATTTATTTGGAAATAGCTCAAACATTTTAGATCAAAATTTTCCCCTTGTACAAAAATAAATAACAACTGAAAAAATAGAAATATGTTCGCAAAATTTTATCAAGAGGACAAGTAGCCATGAATCCTTAATTTGGCCAAAGAGTAACATACATAAATATTTGGCGCACAGTTTTTGCTCGAAATTGCAATGAAACATAGTGAAATTGTCTTTTAAGGTCGAATTTACAGTGCGTAGCTAACCACTGGCAATGGTTTTGCTATCGATTTTTATATTCACTGTGCTCAGTTAACAAAAGAACCCTATGTTAAATTGAAATATTTTGTGTAAAAAGATTCACATTTGTATATAAATATATTTACTGTATATTTTTCGAAGTTGTATAATTTCAGGCGATATGAAATTCCATAGTAACTGTGAATATGAATTCATAGTTAAACTAATGTTAGTGAGTAAGTTAACAATAACTTTAATACCCGCTGTGAATTTGGCCCTTAAATAAACTTCTATCGATGTGAAAATAAAGTTTCGTAAGTGATTTTTTCTGAATAAAAAATTGTATGGCTCTCGAAATTTTAGATTTTTGAGTTGTGACCCTTTTGTATTTAGTGTGAGATATAAGGTGGTCCAAAATAAGTAAAGTCGGAAATTTAATGCTCTCAACCCTTAGGATTATTCTAAATCGAAAAAATATACCCGTTTTTATTTTATTTCGTAATCCAAACAAATTTACAGTCGGTCAACGCGCTGGAAATTTTCAATGAGGTTGTTCACACTGGCTTGGATATCAGGTTATCTGGTTAAAAATTATTATTCTTTATTGTGTTTTATTGTTATAAACTGAATAAAAAATATAAACACATAACCAGATAACCTGATAACCAGGCAAGTGTGAACAACCTCAATGTATTTTATATGGGAAAAAACCATTGTTTGTACAAATGGTATAGAAGTGGAAATCAATATTTTTCGATCGGAAAATTTAGTTTCTCTTCAAAAGACACAATAATAATACCCAATTGTTTATTTAACCAATTTTCTAACAATTTTTTTATAGGTCCCGTAAAACCCCAAAAAAATGCCAAGGGAGACATATAAAAAATCGCTGGTATTAAAAAATTTTTAAATGAACAATT